AAGTTAAAAAGAGTGAGAAGGACTTTAAGCCCACCAACAACACAAATGTTTATATTACCCATCTATGGGATCTATGGAGTTTTAAATTCTAACACAACATTATTGGAAGTTCCGTGATAATGAGTGTATTAATGAAACGGTAAGTAAGAAATTATATTGGGTCTTTGATTATTTATTTATTTATTTATTTTTGTTTTATTTTTTTTATCTTTGAAACTTCAATCCTCATCCCTCTCACCAGCCTTCGAACCCAAGACCCCAACGCCAAGAAACCAGATTCTTAGCCAACAGGACCCTAGGGAGGCTGGTGGTCCTCGACTTGTTTCCTCTCTCTGCCTCTCCTTCTTTTTTTGAACCAAGGAAAATTTTGAGAAAATGAGGAAATATTAATTGTATCAATAAAAACTAAAACTTTAACATAAATCAAGGTATTTAATACATATTATCAGTCCACCAGAGCCTCTTAATGCGGTCCTTAACTTTTTTTTTATAAGGTAATAATTAGAAAGTTAATATGAGTTAGTTGTTAGTAACTGGGATCTTCCAAATCGGGAGAACTTTTCACCCCTCAAATGAGGCGCGCAGCCATCAAGTCGCTTTAAGTAAAGTTCACGACGGTGGTAGAGTTTGAAACTCTAACCACTTAATGCGGTCCTTAACTATTTGTTGCTTTAACATGAAACAAAATCAATTTGTCGGTCCATTGTGCTCACAAAAAATATAAAAATAATTACACAAAATCTTATCTTACACAATCAATCACATGTAATACTAATTATAATTGGCTTCTAAATACTTGGGGAACACACGCATCCACGCGTTCGATACTATGACATGACTATTATGAGAGTGATGAATTCAGAAATCAAGTCTCCCAGTCTTGGAGGATGCAGAGCAACTACCGGATGTGCCATATGAAGCCCCACTAGAACCGTCGATAGGGGCTTGATTTAGACATTCTAAAACCAAATATCTGCGCTTTTGCAACTTGATTGAGAAAGTGGTTGCCTCAAGGATCATAGGAGCCTGCTGACAATTTGGACCAACACGATAGTATGAAACTAATGGAAGACAATGAGCAAAATAGCATAAATGCTGCATTACCTGTGGAACAACCACAAAAGAAAGACCAGGGGAATGGGTATTCTAAGTTGACCTGTGTATTGATGCGTGCTATTTTGTGCACATTGAGAAGCCCAACCATGTCCTGGTAACCAGTGAGAAGTTGCGCCAACTCCCTATCTTCATCTGATGGAAACATTTACCAAGAATCATGTCAGATGAGATCCATTTGAAATGAACATTAAATACCATTTGCAGAAATCTGCAGACCCAACCTGGGATTGCCTTGACAGAAAGCAAGGTATCAGCCATGTGCTGCCATCTTTTACAGAAGGATGGTGAAAGCAGGGAAGGTGGAAAAGTTAAAACAGCGACTGCATTTGAAGAACGCATCACACTTTTGAGTGATCTAATAAATGAAAGCATATGCCATTCCTACAACAGTAACATATTAACACTAAGTATTAAACAATAATGATTGTTATGCCCTAAAATAAGTGAAAATGACATCAAAATTAATCTGAAAGAAGGCACCTATTGGGACAGGATTTATCCTAGTCGGAAAAGGTACAAAATATAGGAAAACCCTGCTTAGAAGAAGACTTCCTCAACAGGAAAAGGGAGCAAGAATTGCTAATACTTTAGGAAACAGGAGTTTGAGATGTATAAGAGCTAGAGAGCAGCAAGAAAGCCACCAACCATGTTTGAATATCCGCAATCTGGAGCGCAGAATGATTGGATAGCAATACGGCCAGCCGTTGTAATGCTGCTATTGTTATCATTTCTGAGATAGAAGAAAAAGATGGTAAGCATTACATGCAAATGACACAAAAGCCATGATTTGCAGTAAAAGACAACATAAAATAAAACAAGAGCCGAAATAATAAAGCAGCACTGTCTAAGTTTTCCCAACTTTTTCCTAACAAATTAGCCACAATTATTTGCAATGGAACGTCTGACCCAGAAAGCAGAACAAAGTACCGTGGAAACTGAGATAAGAACGTCCCACAATGGTCCAGCAACACAGAAAGATTCATAGAATCCTGGAGGCTAACACAATCTACATGTTGCCTGATGAGAAATTGCCTCTCTAGGGGCTTCCGCAAGTCAAAGTCATTGCAGTACTCATGCTTATCATCTGCAGCAAAAACAACATATAACAAATCAATTTCCAACATGTAGAGGTAAACTCAAGAGTGATCACCTTATAGACCAACAAATCAGAATATAATGCTACTCTCTAGAATCTTGCCTGGCAAAACTAACCCTACATAGGAACCTCTGACCCTTCAGATCACTGTTTGGAAAGTGTACTATAACTTTAAAAAAAAAAAAAAAAAGTTGTAATCATTACTTGGTGATGAAAATTGTTATGGGGAGAGGAAGGGAAAGCAAAGCCTGGTAGCAAGGGATGCAGCATGCAGACTCGCTCTGTTACTCCCATATCCAACAAGAAAAGGTAGAGGCAACTTTATTGTAGCTTATAAACTATAAATATAAAACTCTTCAGAGTGAGAAACATTAATTTTCGATACATACAATAAGGAATTGATCATAGTAATTCCAAATATAAAAAGAAAGGTTACCTCTATGACCAGTAAAATTGGGATTATTTTCGCCAAAATACTTCTTGTACTGCCAAGCAATTCTCAACCCTTTCTCCTGCAAGGTTGCAGAACTACCATTCAAATCCATAACACTACCAGACAAAAGTTCAGACAAACCAGAGACCAAACAAAACGATGGAGGGGAGAACCTGATCTGTATCACGGTCACGGGGTTTATCATCTTTGGATGAAGCTGGACTAGGCAGAGTGCCCAGAAATCCCTTTGGATCTTTGGATGGACTAGCATAGAGAAGAGGTTGATTATGAATAAGTCCCTGAGACATGAAATTCCTCAATAAAAGCATGTGATGAGGTGCTTCAGAATCTTCCATCACCATAACTAGGCTCCCTAAAGTGAACCCACCACCCAATATCTCTACACATTACATATCAAATCAAAGCCGCACGATAAGAAGAGAAACTAACGCAGAGAAATGATAAAACAGAATGATATAACTCCAGTTTTTCTACCAACAATATATCAATATATAATGGTTAGAAGAATTTAAGAAAGTACAAAAAGAGAAGAAAGAACATTACTATCAAGGTCAGGTATCCCAGAAGATAGAAAAACCGTGCCATTGGGTCCACACTTGAGTCCGGGGGCTAGTGATGGTGTTGCAGCTGACACGGCACGAGAAAAGCTACTTCCTCGGGTCTTGGTTGCAGCCATTGCTGCCAGTAAAAAAAGCAGGCTGACGCCTGTCTATCCAGGTTTAAGATGGCAGCAAGCTTAGTATCAGCAATGCTTTGTTGATCAAAACAACATTCAAACAATGAATATCAATGCTCGTAAAAAACAGAATAATAATTGCTAGTTCCATTAACCAATCGAACAGGCATTTCGTCGAACAACTGGTGTGCAAGTTTTAAGGCTTGGTTCTATTAAACGCGAAACAAGAAAGATGATTTTCTGGTCACTACCACAACTTTCTCACCAACCAAACAGCAATATGAATTTCAGATACACAGAGTAGAATCGAGTTCTCACCTGTTTGGTAATCTTTGGGGCAGGTTTGTTTGCTTCGGAGTTCAGAGTTTAGTCGGGTGCTGTTGGCGCTTGAATTCGTGTTGCGCCGTGAAGAACGACGCACCCAATTTTCTGCGCTTTTCCTTTTTCCGCAATTCCCGTGGGCCGTCAATTGGTAACGACGTAACGTGGTTATGGAGCTACGGTGTAATAGTAACTTGGGCTTGGACGAAGCCCATTGGAACCCAAGCTCAAGTTTTTTCATTCTCTCCGAGAAAACTGTTTAATTTCTGGGTAAAATATTTAAAAAGTTCTAAGCCTTTTGAAATCACCTGCAAAATAGTCCTGATGATTTTTTTTTTTTCTTGATTACATAATAAAAAATAATATTTTTTTATCCCTTAATTCACTTTATTTGTATATCATATAAGTTAAATTCATAATCTCTTATTTTTTGTGAGAAAAAATTATCATTAAACTTTTTAGATAGTGAACAAATATATACAATATTATCAAG